TAATACTATTTTAAATTTTTATCTACATATGGCATATTATTTATCATGTTTTTATTTTTTAATAATATTTAATTTGATATTTTGATTTGATTTATATATATATAATATATAATATAATATAATAAAATATATATTATAGTTAGTTAATAATATAGTTTAATATCTCTAAATTTTTCCAGATCTTATTTTCTTGCAATTTTATTGCATTTTTACTATTAAGTATATTAAATACATTATTTTCATTTATTGTTAAAACTATATTTTCATATATATATATTATTATCATGTTAATATTTTCATAGCTTTATAAATTTTCATTAGCTTACAAAAAAATTCATTTAACCTAAAAATTCTGATTTTAATAAAAATTTATATATGTGTGGAACATAATAGATTATAACATAATAGATAATAAAAAAATTTGTTTATCAATGAGTATTAAACTAAATGAGTATTGCACAAAATAAGTTGTGTCTAAATTGCATGTTATCGTTCAAAAAACTAACTATGGTTTGTACAATTTATATTGTGAGTCTTGAGTAATAAATAAAATGATTGACTCTATTTGCAACTGATTGGCTGACAACTGATTGATTTCTATCTGATTTCTAATTATGTTCTGATTTATTTAAATCTAACTATTGATCTGAATTCTATTTATCGATTTGATATATATTCTATCTCGATTGAATTTCCTATTAATTATCTATTTATTTATTTGCATCTATGTGGATTTTGGTTCTTCCTTCATTATCTTCGCGAAAAATGCAAATTAAAAAAAAGATTAAAAAGAATCATTGATCGCCTTGGAAGACAGTTTATAAAGAAGAATTCTTACGACTTTGTATCATAGAACGCTTGAGAATCACGAACTTTGCGATTATTTTGGGATAATTTATCATAAAGCATTTGGATAAGTGATTTGTGCAGTGGCCATTGCTATTATATCTTAGTATTCTTACTGGTATTGATGATTTGGAAAATGTAAAGGAACTGTATTCGCTTGTAAATTATTATTAAAATCTAAATTATTGAAAATAAAGTTTATGCAATATGATCGCTGTCAAAATCTCAAATTTTTGTCTTAATTAATGGGATAAGAATATAAAATCAAAAAAAAAAGAAAAAAAATTTTAAATTTTAATATTTTTTTAGAATTTGAATACAATTTCATCTGGAAATTTTAGAATAATAAAATATTAAATTCTGAATATTTTAGAATTATACTAGTCTTGTACTAGTATAAAGTTATGTTTAAAAAATCAAAACATTAAAAATTTTATACATGAAATTATGATTAAAACTTGAAAAGATGCTGAAATTTTGAAAATAAATTTCATACTTTTATAGAGATTTCTCAAATTTAAGAAAAGAATTTCTTTATATATAATCTATTATGTTTTCCATATATATAAATTTTTATTAAAACCAGAATTCTTAAGTAGATGAATTTTTTTATAAAATAATATAAAAAAATTTTTATCTTTTACAGTATATTATGTATTACAATCAAATAATAGATGTTTTGATTTATTAATTATCTTTCTTTCTTCTATTTCTTCTATTTATTTCTTCTAGTTTACTCAACCAAAATATAACAAATAAGAAATGCATTAAAAAATTTACTTTAAACTAAAATTAAATTAAAAAATAAAATTAGAATTTATAGGGTTTATCATACATATTTATACGTTCTAATCTTAAAAAATAAAAATGTATTTTGAGTACATAAAATCTCAACATAAGTAAAAAATGCAGAAAAATTAATAATAAAAAAAATTTTTTTCTATCTGTCCTATAATACAATAGAAATTATAATAATGTTATAATTAATAGAATTGACAATTATTGAATAATTATAATAAGCAATAATAATAAATTAACAGTAATAAAAATAATTATATATACAAAATTAAAGCGGTAATTATAGAAACAACAGAATTATTTGTATTTTAATTAATTATTAATTTATTATAATTATATATAATTTATATATATATTTTTTATATTTATATAGTATATTTATATAATATAAGTTACAATTATTCTTCATATTCAAAACATTTATTTTCGATTATAAATTAAATTATATATTCTTTAAAAAAAGTAAAATAAGAGAAATTAAAAAATAATCTATAAATGATTAAATATAATCATATGAAAAGTTAAATGAAAAACATATACCATATTATATAAA